GATGAGCACTGAGTGTTATGTAGAAACTAATTTGACAATAAACTATTTGTAAAAAAAAAAAAAATGAACTCACCAACTGTAATTGTGGCTTAATTTCTTCTTCAACGGTTTCTTCTGGGACCAACAAATTATTTAGATGTATGTTATTTCATTTCCAAGGGTTCAGGAGTTTTAGTGAAATTTGTTTTCTATTTATTTGTTTGTTTGTTTGCTTAGTGTTTATATATTTTTTGAGAGAGAGCAGTTTGAGGAGGGGGACAGACAGAGACAGAGAGAATCCCAAGAAATTTTGAACATTATCAGTTATAGAAGTGTTGTCTAATTTCCTTTGTTTACATCTTTTTCACCGGTTTCTTCTGCAGCCAACAAATTATTCAGAAGGATGTTATTTATTTCCCAAGTGTTCAGGGGTTTTCCTGAAGTTTGTTTTCTATTATTTATTTGTTTGTTTATTGAATGTTTATGTATTTTTTGAGAGAGAGCAATTTGAGGAGGGGCAGAGAGAGAGAGAATCCGAAGCAATTTTCATAATGATTCAGTTATAGAAATGTGAAATTTCCTATGTTTTATTCTTTTTCACCGGTTTCTTCTGCGACCAACAAATTATTTAGAAATATGTTATTTAATTTCCATGTGTTCAGGGGATCTTATGAAATTTTTTTTCTATTATGTATTTGTTTGATTGTTTATTGAATGTTTATTTTTTGAGAGACAGCAATTTGAGGAGGGGCAGAGAGAGAGAGAGTGAGAGAATCCCAAGCAATTTTTGTAATTATTCAGTTATAGAAATGTTGTCTAATTTCCTTTGTTTAAATCTTTTTCAACGGTTTCTTCTGCTATCAACAAATTATTTTAAAGTATGTTATTTATTTTCCACGTGTTCAGGGGATCTCCTGAAATTTGTTTTCTATTATGTATTTGTTTGTTTGTTTATTTTGTGTTTATACAATTTTTGAGAGAGAGTAATTTGAGGAGAGGTGAGAGAAAGAGAGTATCCCAAGCAATTTTTCTAATTCTTCAGTTATAGAAATGTTGTCTAATTTCCTTTGTTTAAATGTTTTTCAACAGTTTCTTCTGCGACCAACAAATTATTTAGAAGTATGTTATTTAATTTCTAAGTGTTCAGGGGTTTTCCTGAAATTTGTTTTTTATTATTTATTTGTTTGTTTATTTAGTGTTTATATAATTTTTGAGAGAAATTTGAGGAGAGGTGAGAGAGAGAGAGAGCATCCCAAGGAATTTTTGTAATTATTCAGTTATAGAAATGTTGTCTAATTTCCTTTGTTTAAATCTTTTTCACCGGTGTCTTCCGCGACCAACAAATTAGTTAGAAGTATGTTATTTGATTTCCAAGTGTTCAGGGGTTTTCCTGAAATTTGTTTTCTATTATTTATTTGTTTGTTTGTTTGTTGAATGTTTATTTATTTTTTGAGAGAGAGCAATTTGAGGAGGGGCAGAGAGAGAGAGAGAATCCCACGAAGCCTGATGTGAGTCTCAAACTCACAAACCATGAGATCATCACCTGAGCCAAAACCAAGAGTCGGAAGCTTAACCAACTGAGCCACCCAGCTGCCTCTTGACTTCTAATTGAATTCTACATTAATAAGAGAACATAATATGTATGATTTTAATGCTGAAAATGTACTGAAATGGTTATGGCCCAGCATTTTTTAAATCTTTAGGACCGTTATACCTAGAAATGTATATTCTATAGTTGCTAGGGGCCGTGTTCTGTAAACACATGGGACCAGTTTGTTGGCAGCGTGGTAAGACTTCGATACCTTACTGATTTTCTGTATTCTTGCTCTATTGATTACTGGTAGAGTAGTATTGAACTCACCAACTGTAATTGTGGGTTCATTTCTTCGTTCAATTCTTACCCCATATTGAAGCTTTTTAATTAGGTGCATATCTGTTTAGATTTGTTAATGTCTTCTTGATTGACTCCTTTGTCATTGTGAAATGTCCCTCTTTTTCTTTAGTGCTATTCTTTACCTAGAGCCTTCTTTGTCTGAGATTAATTAGCCATTTAATCTTTTCGTCATTGGGATTACATAGTATATGTTTCTATTTTACTTGTAACCTAGCTGTGTCTTTATAAATAAGGTATCTTGTAGACACTAGAATAGTTGACCCTTGAGCAACACTGCTTTAAACTGCACTAGTCCACTTATATGTGGATTTTTTTTTGGCAAATACTGTACAAACTGTAAATGTATGTTCTCCTGATTTTTTTCACATTTTCTTTTCTCTAGCTTACTTTATAGTAAGAAAGCAATATATAATACATACAACATCCAAAATATGTGTTAATCAACTGTTTATGTTATTACTAAGGCTTCCAGTCAACAATAGTTAAGTCTTAGGGGAGTCAAAAGTTAAATGTACATTTTAAGCTGTGGGGGGGGGGGTCAGTGCCCTAATCCCATATATTGTTCAAGGGGAGTTTGGCTTTACTTTTCTATTCAGTTTTAACTAACAGTGCCCAGACTTTACATTTGTGTCTTTAGTCCATTGACAGTTAATATAATTATTTTTATGGTTAAGTTGTATGTCTACCTTCTCGCTATATGTTTTCTGTTTGTCCCATTTGATCTTTGTTTTCTGCTTTCTTTTTCTGCATTTTTTGAATTAAATGAGTATTTACTTAGTATGCCATTTTATTTCTTTTGATTTATAATTTGTATTACATGTGCATTTTATTTGTTGCTCTAGGCAGTTTATAGCATACATCTTTACTTTATTACTGTGTGCTGTGAACTCATTCTGTGCCACATCATGTATCATGTAAGAACTTGACAATAGTACATTGTTATTCTCCACCCTCCTGTCTTTTGCACCTTTTTTTTCCTACCCAAGAGAACATGCTGAGACAGCCTAACTTCCTTCTTTTCTTCCTTTCTGTCAAGAGAGCTTTTTAAATTAAACTATAGTCTCTGAGAGTCGTGCCTATATATAGGGAGGAGTTGGTGGCTTTTAGCTTTCAATTATTTGCTTGATTTGTCCTTCACCTAACAGGGTCTTAATACTCAAGGTTTTTTGTTGCATAGCTATGCTTCCTTGTCTTCACAATAGCACAGGTTAGTGTACTAACCAGCTTTGGTTTTCAGCATCTTCTCAATGTATTACCCCTAAGCTCTCCCTTACTTCTTTGAGAGCTTTTAAAGGATATTTGCTATAATTCAGCTGTTACTTCTTATTTAACAGATATGTATTTGAATGTCATTGACTTATACTCTGAGACTTTGACCTGGAGGTGATATGTGAGTCTAATTATACAATCAAAGCAGAGGGCTTTGGTGATTTCAGGGCCATTTTTATATGTCCAGGATTTCTGTGATAGCAGCAATAAATGCATACTTTGTCTATTTTGGCATGGTATTTTGTATAGATATAAAGCTTAACACACATCAGTCTTTGTTTCATCAAGTGTTTTTCAAGTTAGTAGAAGTTAAAGGAATTTTAAGGGTTTGGAATTAAACTTACAGATACTTACTGTTGGATTAAGTTGTGTAACTTCACAGAATGTTTTTGTGACTTTTTCAAATATATTCATTTGTAATGTTATTGTGACAAACATTCATTGGGGATCAGACAATAAAGCAAATCTTCAACATTTACATAACGTATGAAAGGGTTATTGGTACTTAATGAAATTCTATCTTTAAAAGAAATATGCATTCCTTAAGGGAAAGGTGCCATGCAATAGAGAATTTTGATTAGTCTTATTGCTTTATTGTGATTCATCATAGACTGATTTCTTAGTAAAATATTGTTGCACTTTGATTTCAGAATTCTTTGTTACATCACTGAATAATGGATGAGACTAAAAGAGAAAAAGGAAAGAGGTATAAATTCATAACTGATTGATATTTCTGCCAAAGCCCTCTCCCCTGTCTTCTGTTCCTATTTCACATCTAGCAAAATCTTACTTCCTTGGGGGAAGCCTGACTCAGGGAAATTTGGTCTCTCCAGTGGGTTTTCCATAACCCTTAGCCCCAACTCTATTATAATACTTAGTGCATTACCTATGTAATGCATAGGTATAACAAATCTTCCCTGACAACATCTCTCTTCAAACTATGTCCTCCATACCTTACACAGTGGTTGCTCAGAGCTGACACTACATAAATGGTTTACACTCCCTAATAGGTTTAGAAGCTTGTTTTGGGCCAATGGCTTGCCTACACCTTAAATTTATATATGTTTGAAAAGATAAATTACCTTAGTTTTACAGTTCAAGCATCTAAAATAAATTCCAGCGCACTGATCAAAAAAGCTTTCATCCAAAATTTTCAGTATGATCTGTTTTTCAAAAGTAAAAAACAATCTCAATTAGCATTTTATTGCTCAGCTTTCTCTCTGAGAAGGAGCAATGGCTTTGCAAGAGCCTCTTGAGTAATTACAGATCATTTAGAGAGATTTTTCTTTAATGAGAAGTACTCTTGTAAAAGCAGGTAAGAATATATGGTGGAACAAAGGTCCACCATTTAAATTCAAGTTAATTTGGATTGAATTTATTTTATATAATTTTTAGTTCACTGTGCCAGACACTGTGGTGGGCTTTGCTGTGGAAGACACAGATTGGGTCCCCTACCCTCAAGGGCCTCACAGTCTAAGGGAGATGAAATTGGCTTTCATTTCCTCATTTTAATATTGACAGTTATTGTTGTATGAATGATCAGTGGACTGGAGTTTTGCTCAAATGTTGACATTAACAACTCCCTTTCTTCTTATTTCTCCTCCATTCATTGTTTCACCATCTTAATTCCTAGACCTACCCTTACTGTTAACCACCCTGATTGTTTTTTCTCACTTAGGGATGTACCTAATGTATCTGAAAAGAAAAAGAAAGACAAGAACAATTCCTTCTTCACAGAACTACATGCATTTATCCAAACTCATGGATATCCTGTAAGAAGAAACAGATCGAATACATCACAGGGCACTACTGACCCTTCACAGAAGGAAGGTTTGGTCTGAGCACCCTAACCCCATTTGTATAGCTTTTTGATTAGCCATATTGAAAACTGTTGTGGGTGGGACAGCTGGGTCTCTTCCTTTACTTCAAACATCTTTGGGAGAGATTAATAAATAGAAGATCTCCTGAAGCACCTTCTTTTTTTTTAACTTTATTTATTTTGAGAGAGAGCACAAGGCGGGGAGGGTCAGAGAGAGAAAGGGAGAGAGAATCTCAGACTGTGGAGTCAAACTTGGGGTTTGAACTAACGAACTGTTAGATCATGATCTGAGCCAAAATCAAGAGTTGGATGCCTAATTTACTGAGCCACCCAAGTGCCCCCTGAAGCACCTTTTAATACACAGATACTTGGTTTCTCTCCATTTGTAAGTTTATTTATAGCCAATGCTGACAATGCTATTAAGGTAATAAAGAAATGAGAATTAATAGAAGTATACTGGGCAATAATAATGCAGAGTTCTGTATTTTAGGCACTTGTAGCATATGGTAAATTTTGCTAAGGGAGACATGGTCCTGAGGGCATCAAATAGTACCTAAAATACTTAAGTAAGCTTAACTCAAAACCTCTGAACAGGTTATACCCATATGCATTTAATCATGCTATAAGAATCTCTTACCTTAAAAAATATTTTCTTGACCCCATGATACTTCTGTTACTCTGTTTCTGTGCCCTCTTCACAGCACAACTTTTTGAAATGATTGTAAGACCCACTGAGGCTGCAGCTGTCACAACTCCACTGCAGCTGCTTTTGTCAGGAATAACAGTGACCTACAAATTACTGAATTATTTGGTCTTTAGCTCTCCTCCTTTAACTTTCTTGGCCTTCAAAAACATTGGACAGGTGACCACTCTTTTCTTCTTGAAGTACTTTTTTATTGGCTTCCAGGATAACACACTCATCTGGTTTCTCTCTTAGTTCATCTGCTGCTCCTTCCCTTTTTTCTTTCTACTTTTCTACTTCCCCTTTCAACTTCTGAACATTAGTGTGGCCCAGAACTCAGTCCTTGGACCTTTTTTCTTCTATATCTACACTCATTTCCTGGGTAATTTCATCCAGTCTCCTAACTTGAAGTGCTATCTGGATGTCAGTGACCTCTGCTTTATAAGTCTATCTTTAACCCTGACCAGCATGAACTCCATAATTGAGAATCATGCTCATTATTAAATCAGCAAGAGTTTCCTATGTGATTTCTTCACCTGGATATCTAATAGAAAAGTTAATATGTCCATAAGGGAACTCTTGGTCTTTCTCCACTTCATTGCCTCTCACACCCACCTACCCCCTCCCGGTTCTCCTTATTCCGGTAACTGGTACCACCAGTAATTCTTCCAGTGTCTCAAGCTAAAACTCTATAAATCATTCTTGTATCCTCCATTTCTTCAACCTCATCACTCAATCCATAAGCAAGTCCTTTTAGTTTTTCCTGTAAAATATATGTCAAATTTATTCACTTCTCCCCATTTCCATAGCCTTGGTATACCAACCTAATCCAGGGCACCATCATCTGTTACTTTTGTAGAAGCTTTCTAGCTAGATTCTGCTTCCACTCTTGTTCCCCATTTTGATCTATTTTTCACAAATAGCCATAATAGTCTTTTAAAAAATATATGTCATTCTCCTGCTTGAAAGTATTTCATATTCCACTCAGAATAATGGTAACTCCTTAACATATGCCTACATGATTTGGCCCTGCCTGTCTTTCAGACTCATTTCCTACTACTCTATCCCTTGGTCACCCGACTGTAGCCACTTTTGCCTCCTGTCTGTAACTTAAATAGGACAGATTCTTTCCTGCTTCTCTTAACTTACTGCTTCCTCTGCTCAGGATGCTTTGTTCCCATGTTTTGCTGTGGCTCTGTTCCTGTCATTCAGAGCTTGGCTCAGATGGTACCTTCTCATTCAAGCTTTCCTTGATCACTCAGTCTAAATTATTGTATTTAAAGATATATAAAAATTATTGGTTCCATTGTCCATGTGTTCATTATGTGTCTACCTTTCCACCAGTCTATAAGATATAAAAGGATAGTCACCTCACTTGTCTTGTTCATACTATATCATAAGCCTCTAGAACACAGTAGAACACATAGTTGGAGGTCAGTAAATATCCGTTAAATAAATGAATGAATGAGATTTAGTTTAATAAGAATTACCAAGTTCATATTATGAATTAAATACTGGACACTGGGGTTTTAGCGAAGAATTGAATATGGTGCCTGTCCTACAAGCAAAACAAGAATAAATTTATGGAGGGGCGCCTGGGTGGCTTAGTCGGTTAAGCGTCCGACTTTCGCTTAGGTCATGATCTCGCAGTCCGTGGGTTCGAGCCCCGCGTCGGGCTCTGTGCTGACTGCCAGCTCAGAGCCTGGAGCCTGTTTCAGATTCTGTATCTCCCTCTCTCTCTGACCCTCCCCTGCTCACACTGTCTCTCTCTCTCCTAGAAATAAATAAAACATTTTAAAAAAAGAAAGAATAAATTTATGGATAATAGTAACGTAGACAAGCCTTTTATGGTGGATTGATAAAATACATTGGTTTTATTTTCTTGGAAATATGTAGACTCTTTTTGGTCTTATTTATTTCCTAGGAGGGAGTATAGGAGATGAAAATCACTAGACAAAACTGAAACACAGTGGGGAAATGACTTCAGAAATCAGCTATGGGAGAGTGTCATGGGTTGTTTCCTGAGCTTGAGGAGCTGTGACTAGAATTGAATTTCCAGGCTGGGACAGTGGTCAGAAACACTGATCTTGAGGCATTTGTGCAATTGGCATGGTTTATTTTTATATTCTGTCATTTCCCATGCAGTTACACACCCTCTTTTCATTCCTTCTTTAATGAGGGTTCTGGAACTTTTATGCTCATACTTGGCCTCCTTCTTACCCACATCTACTGATAGGAAAGGATCTGAGACTCATACTCTCTAAGAAATAAACTCTGCTATCAGAATTATCCTTGTCAACATGAAATGATGCTCGGCATCCCTCCTCATCAGGAAAATACAAATCAAAACCACACTGAGATTCCACCTCACACTGGTCAGAGTGGCTAAAATGAGCAAATCAGAGGACTCTAGATGCTGGCGAGGATGTGGAGACACGGGCACCCTCCTACACTGTTAGTGGGAATGTAAACTGGTGCAACCCCTCAAGAAAACCGTATGGAAGTTCTTCAAAAAACTAACACTAGAACTCCCCTATGACCCAGCACTAGCACTGCTAGGAATTTACCCAAGGGATACAGGAGTGCTGATACATAGGGGCACATGTACCCCAATGTTCATAGCAGCACTCTCCACAATAGCCAAAACATGGAAAGAGCCTAAGTGTCCATCCACGGACGAATGGATCAAGAAGATGTGGTTTATCTATACGATGGAATACTACATGGCAATGAGAAAGAATGAAATCTGGCCATGTGTAGCAACATGGATGGACCTAGAGGGTGTTATGCTGAGCGAAATAAATCAGGCAGAGAAGGACAGATACCATATGTTTGCACGTATAGGAGGATTAGGAGGAACTTAACAGAGGACCGTGGGGGAGAAGAAGGGGGAAAATAGTGGGGGAGATGGAAGGAGGCAAACCATGAGAGACTGTTGAATGCTGAGAACAAACTGAGGGCTGATAGGGGTGGGGGGAGGTGAACCGGGGTGATAGGCATGGAGGAGGGCACTTGTGGGGATGAGCACTGGGTGTTATATGGAAACAAACTTGACAATAAACTATTTTTTAAAAAAAAGAATTATCCTTGTCAAGGGAGTTAACATTTTTAATAGGGGTCAAAGTTGCATTCCCTGGGTCTCTAAGTTCTCTGTGGGGAGAAGAAACTAACAGTTATTGACATGCATTAAAATAACTGGAGATTGGAGGGTTGTGTTAGGGAAATCCCTGAGTTAGTGAAGTTAGTAGAATAGGTGGGATTAGTGGAGGTGAAGGGAGCAGCTGTTGGTACCAAAGGCTCTGAGTGAGCACAGCAGAAGAAGAAACAGTGCTCACTGGAAAAACCAGAAAACTTGGAAAGTGAAGAAGGATGGGTGGGTGATAGAACATTGTTAACAGCTTTGAAGAGACATGAGATAGGGCTTAAAGATTTTCTAGTTAGGTGTTTGGATCTACCTAGAGCCCTTGGCACATTACTTGGTTTTGGCAAGAATGCAGAAGACTTAAAGAATTCAAGAAAAGGGAAGAACTGTAGGTTGAAAATCATAAAATCTTTGGAAAAGTCTGTACAAGTGGAAATTGAGTTGGATGATCTTCAAGGTCTTTTTCGATTCCAAACACTTCTCTGTTTATGATAATTTATAAGCAATTAGTTAGTCTACATCAGCTCCTTCATTAGCACTCAGCATTTTCTCATGAGAGTCTTTTCTATAAAATTAATTATAACTTTGAAAAATCTAATACCCATAGCTAATAATTTTAATGTGACAGTTTTCCATCCTTTCTCTGTTTTTCTTAAAAGACAAAGTCGATCCAGAAACCTCCAGAGAGATATCCAATTGGATTCCATCATTTCAGAGCTATGAAGACTTCAAGTGTAAGACACTACAAGTAAGAGGGCATTTGTTCTTGGATTATTTCATATGTAGAATATGTGCAATAGAAGATAAAGAATAGTGTTTTTCACAGTGTGGCTAGGAGACCATGCATATCTGAATTACCTAGGAAGCTTGGTGAAAACACAGATTCTTGGGACCCACCTTAAATTGTCTGAATCAGAGTCTCAATCCTGGTAGAGCGAGGAGCCTGCATTTCTAACAGGCTCTACAGATACTTTGCCACTCATCTTGAATGACAATAAATACAAAAAGGTCTTTGCATAAGTTAGTGGCAAATTAACTGATATCTGATAGACCCTTCAACATAGATTGTTAGCCTCTATAAAACAGGCCTTCAAGTCTTATTTTTTCCCTTAAGGACATGAGGTGTTTATGTTTTCTGTCTCCAAGGAAACCAGTTAGTTTTGCTAAATTCAAAGGCCACAACTAAAACCTGAATGACCACGGACTTTTTTTTTCTTTTTTAATGTTTATTTATTTATTTTGAAGAGAAAAAAAGTGAACAGGAGCTGTGGAGGGGCAGAGAGAGGTAAAGAGAGAATTCCAAGCAGGCTCTGTCAGTGCAAACAACGATGCAGGGTCCCATGAACCATAAGATAATGATCTGAGCCTAAATCAAGAATCTGCCATCAGACTGCCATCAGACTGATTTAGCCACCCAGATGCCCCAGACACCTTTCTTTTGAGTCAGACAGATAGGCTATGAATTCTGCCCTTGTAATATATACTTGCTGTGTGTCCTTGAGAAAGTTATTATCTCTGAGCCTTGGTTTCTTTCTCTGTATAATGGGTATTAAAAAATTGCTTTCACTGAGTTGTGAGAATAAAGTGGACATAATGTAAAATGTCTAGCACACTTCCTCACTCCTTTCTCCATGTCGTTCAGTTTTCCATATTTACCATTCCCATGTCTTTCTGTATTGCAGTCTGAATCATTTCTTTAGCTCTGTTTTCCTTCTAGCTATGTTCTAGCATACTATTTATACATTGAGTTTTTATTTTTCATGATAATATAATTTCTAGACATTTGTTTACTTTTCATGTCTACCTGGTCAGTTTTGAGTCTTTTGGTCTTTCACCATATTTACCTTTTATTATTTATTTAAGCAATTTAAACAAACTTATTTTATATTCTATCTTCAATAATTTTGATTTCTGCTGGTTTGATTTTGATTCTGCATTTTGTTATTTATTCTGCCTCTTGTTCATGTTTTATTTCTTCCTGTGTTTTCAATATCTTATAAGCTCATGTTATTTGGAACTTTATCCACATGAATTTTTGAGCCCCGGTTTTACTTTTTTTAAGTTTATTTATTTATTTTTGAGAGAGAGTGAGCACACATGAGGGAGCATGAGTGGGGAAGGGGCAGAGTGAGGGAGAGAGGGAATCCCAAGCAGGCTCCATGCTGTCAGCCCAGAGCCTGATTCAGGGGTGGGCCCGATCTCACAGTCTGCGAGATCATGACCTGAGCTGAGATTGAGTTGGATTCCTCAGAGTTGGTCACCCAGGTGCCCCAAGACCACTTTAAACTAAATAATGGGCCTAGGGCGTGGAGAGCTACACAGGTAGTTTGTGAATTCCAGCTCCAAATCTGTGTGAGTGTGGGCTTCTGTTTAATGATTCTCAGATGAGACTAGTTTTTCTTTTCCTTTTCTAGCCAGAGCTGAGCCTGAGGCAGGTGTGTGCATTCACTCTTTCCCTTTGCTGGATAAGATCCATTTTGTCTGCTGAGAGTGTTACCCTTTGGGAAGCCTGGTTTTATGCAGAAGTCTCCGATTTCACTTCCCACCTTGTGTACGTCTGGCTTTGCTTTCTCTCCCCCAATCTCTATGCCACCAGTGTTGTGCAGATATTTATGAGGCAAATTCAGGCTCCAATATCCCCTTACCTTTTAATTCTCATGTTCTAGTTATTTCTGACACCAGATTGTTTCCTTTACTTTAGAATAAGCTTGGTCTTGTTTTGAAATATGTTTTAATATACTTTATTAATAATTTTAGGGGTTCTCAACCAGGAGGCATTTGTCTCGATATCAAATCCATTATATAGCAGAAAAGTGATGGCAATCTCCATATGTATAAGTAGATGAGTAAACTAACCACAAATAAAAATGCCCTGCAAAATATTTTTAGCATTTTTGAAATTAATTTTGAATAAATGTGAAACAACCTACACACGGAAATGAATTTTCCTAGCTTGTGTTGAAGAGCTTTGTGTTAATTGGGTATACATTAAAATTTGTTTGTCTAAGTGACACATCATTTGATAAACATCTCATGCTTAAGGTTAAGTAGATTCTGTGTAGGAGGCAGAATAATGGAATTTTAATTAAGTCTGTGCCTGCTTTATTGATATTTAAGAACCACAATACATTTTCAGCGTGCTATTATAATTATTTATGCATTTGGAAATAAAACTATCATTTTATTATTGTTGCACTATTTAATTACATTATTATTCTCTCTTCATTAGTCATTAGATGGCTTTATGATAATACTGAGTGCAGATGGAGTGATAGTTTTTGTCGCTGGAAACATCACTTGCCTTCTTGGCCATTTACCAGTAAGTTTTTCCAGTTTTGGAGAAAGATCATTCTGGTTTATGTTTAGGGGTTCATTATTTGTTTTCAGGAGCATATAAGTCATCAGAGAAGATGTTCTCTCAATGTTGCTAAAATGTGCACCTGTTTTATTGTCATATTTATTGGTTTCAGTTTTAAATCTATAAAAACAAATTATGATATGAGGTAATGAAATAGTGTGTGTGTGTGTGTGTGTGTGTTTTGTAAACTACTCCGAAGACAATCTCCAAAGAAGAATGTGCTTTTTGAAATGGAAGTCTCCTCAGAATCAGTGGATAAACCCCAAGGTGACTGCTCTGTGAGACAGCCCTCACTGGGATTGATGTGTTTGATTTTGTACATTTCCTTAGAGTCTACTACATAGTGATTAAACAAAAAAAGTCATGATTTGTTTATGCTAGTTCATGACATCCATTTCCAGACCTGATTTGCTTTTTGTTTCTTTATATGGAAGAACAAATTATGATCTAATTTAGAAAAAATATAGATATGATGGCATAGTTTAGGAGTATTGTAAGTATTGCTGGAGACATTTACACAGGAGTTGTAGTCAGGATCTGTGGTGTCCAAAAAGATCACTCATTCCTGAGCTATTTGGTATTATTATGCCCCTCTTCATGAAAGCTTTCTCTATCTTCATAGGATCATTGACTTAGAATATGTGATTACCTAAAAATTTTTCTGGATCTTCAGACTGCACATCTAACAAATATACCACTCAAATATGAAAGTACTCCATACTTTTTTATTCCATTAATGCATGTGTGTGAAGAGAGGATATGTAGAGTACATTCACCTCCACTCCTGAAATCTCTGTCATTTGGCTAGTGTGTGAATCTTATTTGGATTGTTGCCATCATTGTATATTCCTAACTCCACACAGTTGTGTAAAGAACTTGACAAACCCTGAGCCAGACATCTATAGCACTTAAGTTTGGAACATGTAAATTAAGAGAAGTCATGTTACATTATTCTTTAAAGTTAATAGTGGATTAGAAGATTATTCCACTAGTTATGCTATTCCAGCCGATGTGTTGCCAGGCCCAGTTGGAAGGTTAGAGAACTTTTCTACTCTTTTATCTTTATTTGAAGATATTATGATCAATATCTTTATTTCTCATTCTCTTTTCTTTATTTTAGAGAACAGTTTACATTTTCAAATTCAGCTTATATTTATAGGATGCCTAAACAGCTGAATAAAATACAAATATTAGAGATTTTCATTGAATTGGACTTTAGAGTACTTTTATCATGGAAGAGGAATGGTCTTATTAAATCTATGTTAAAAGAAAGAATGTATGAGTATGATCCATGACAAATTAAGTTTTGTTATGGTGAAGACCAGAAATCTTCCCAAAGTCTTATATTAGATATTACTAAACCAAATTGGTCATTGACCGAGACTGGTGAACTTTTCCTATTGTGAGGATTTTGCACAGTGATGGTCTTAGTGGTGCTATCCTTGTTTCTTTATGTAGTTTGGTTCAGATTTTTCACTCTCAAGAGAATTGTTCAACTTTCAGCATTTTAGGTAACATGCACACACACGCATGCGCGCGCACACACACACATACACACACACACACACAGACTCACCCTAAGGTCTGGGAGATGAGGTTGAATGACTAATCTTAAACAATGGATTTGATTACTGGAGACAGGTATACTTAAAAATAAAGCTATTAATATTAGGTCTGTACATAAACATAAAATGGGAATGAAGTTTTATAATCTCATTAAAAAGGACTTAGACCTGAGGCATAATTTCACATTTTTCATCATTAAATACTAACTCTTCTTACTTTGTAACAACATGCATTTTTTTCCCAGGTTTTGATTAAAAATTTCATTTTTTAAGTCACTCATCTTATATTAATGTGAAGACAAAACCATTTCTAGAGGATCTTTCTGGCTCCAGGAAAATACAATTTCATTAAATATCAAGACAACTCTGTCTCTTCGGCAACTCTAAGCTGATAGCATGGTGGAAGGAAAGAACTTATTCTCTGACGTCAGATAATCTGGAGATTAAAATTTAGCTCTATCACTTACTAACTACATGAGCTTTAGTTTCTCATCTGTCAATGTGGAAAAAAAGTATTACTGGAGGTAGACTATTGCAATTGTGGGTTTAGTGAAGACCTGCCTTATCAGGGGACATTTGAACAGAAATCTGAATGGAGTATGTGAGTCATGCAGATAACTGGAGCAAGTATGTCCCAGGCAGAACAAAAGCAAGTGAGAAGGCACTAAAACAAGAATGTGCTTGGTATGGAAACGGTACAATAGAGAGGCTGTTGTGACTGGAGTGCTGTGACAAAAAGGAAAAAAATGAAAAAAGGAAGTGTTCCTGAGGGAACACTTGAAAGTGCTATGCCTTGAATTGATATTTTTTTTTGGTAAATTTGTTTAATGTTTTATTTATTTCTGAGAGAGATAGAGAGAGAAGGGGAGGGAGTCATAGAGAGAGGGAGACACAGAATCCGAAACAGGCTCCAGGCTCTGAGCTCTGAGCTAGCTGTCAGCACAGAGCCGAACGCGAGGCTCGAACCCACAAACCGTGAGATCATGACCTGAGCCAAAGTCGGACGCTTAACCAACTGACCCACCCAGGCACCCCAAGAGACTCTTAACTCTAGACAGCACACTGATGATTACCAGAGAGGAGGAGGGAAATAGGTTAGATTAAGATTAAGGAGTGCACTTGTTGAGATGTGCACTGTATGTATGGAAGTGTTGAATCACTATATTGTACAACATGAAACTAAAATTATACTGTATGTTAAGTATACTGCAACTAAAAAAAAAAAGAATAAGCTATAAGGGCAGGCAGGAAAGTAGGGAGTCCACTTGGAAAGTTATTGCATTAATCCAGGCTATTGGATAGTGATGAGTTGCAGTAAGGTGGACGTGGAAGCCATCAGTGTTTTGTAGGTAAAACAAGTTTTGCTGATGGATTGGATGGGAGTGTGACAAACAGATATGAGGAGTCCAAGATATGATGTTGTAACACACATCATCATGACTGAAATGAGGGCTATTATCATCATCATGGTATTAAATTTATATCGGAAGTCTGCCATTGTATTTTCCCATTCATTTACTTCCTTTATAGTTTTTCTTTTGGAAAAACTTGCAGTCATTTGTAATAGTAATGTATTTCTTAGCAGCCTGTCCTCGTACTCACCATACTTCATCACACCCCTCCCCGCAAAATAAATAAATAAATAAATAAATAAAACTGGGAATTTACATGTAGTTGTTCTCTTTTACAATTCTCACACAAATGAAACTTTTCAAACACATATTTCATCATGGAAGAGAGTTTCTCAGCATTGAGTTATTAAGACACTTTAGCAGGTTTTGAACACAGGTATATGATGAGTTCGTGATAATTGCAATGAATTTTGTTCTGTTTTCCCTGTGAAGCTTACAGCATAGTAGAGAATTACTAGTTATGAGTCTTGTTTGATTCAAAATGCAATCTGAATTTCATGCAGAGGCTCTCATACTTCCCTGTGCCCTATATAGTTGAACAGTTTTCTAATGCATGTTTAATGTGAATGTCTCTGCCAACAAAAAAGATACTTCTTGCCTGGATTCTCAGTAAATGTCATGGAGTGGAGTAAATTCCTTTACTTTTTTTTGACATGACTGATACTCACCATACTAATATTTGTGGGACAACTAATAGGTATTTGCAAACTTGACTTTTGAAAAACCTCTTTAATTTTTCACTGGCATTTATCTTTGCTTATTTAAGCTTTAAGTGCCTTGATCTTTCTGCCTTGTGTAATATGAAGAGCAAATGCCAAAGATTTAAAAAAATAAAATGGTGTTGATAATGTTTTCAGATCTCTGCCCTTTAACTATGGAGTAGTTATACTGGAATGATTGTTACATTCACTCTTTTTAGTTGGTGGTCAGTTCTAAGGCATTCATTGTCACTATCACCTTCCGTAAAGAATGTAGTTAATTAATAAGAAACTCTTTGCCAATATTTCCAACCAAGGGAATGTACACTATCAAAAGACTGCTCACTTTAAATTCTTTGATGTGACAGCACTGTCCTTTATTCTTCTACTGATGAAAGAACTGGTGAGCTGTGGCACTTTGTACCTCTTGTTACAGTCTTATTTTATACTTTGCATCATAGTTTTGTGCCTGTCTCATCTGCTCTACTGAATTATGTATTCATTAAAATTAGAATTCCTATCAGGATCATCATGTTTAACCCTCCTAAGTACTCAATAGAAAAAGAAATTGATAAATTATTTCATGTAGAATGTCCAAAATGCAGACACTGGCCCAGCAAATCAGCTGCCTTTGGTATAAATTGGACTTGAGGCAGCTATAGTATAATGGAGGGAACAAAAGACATACAATTAGTTGGATGGACTTGGGGATGAATTTTACCACTGAACTTCTGACCTCTCAATAATTGGACAATCCTTAATTTTTTCATGAACAAAATAGGGGATAATTCTTCCTCTCACATGGTATTATGATAGATAATTTGTGTGACTACCTAGCACAGTGTCTGGCACGGAGCAGTTGTTAATCATGTGTGAGATAAATGAATGAATGAGTGGTCTCCACTGACCAGAGGTAACTTGGTTTTGTACCTATGGTTTGTTTTCTAACTAAACTAATAAAATAATTTTTATTGAAAAAGTTAAGTTTAATGAAAAATATTTATATTTCTTTTGGGAGGTAAATTTCTTATTGAATGACTTTCATTGTCAAAATTTATTGCTTATTAGTTTCATAATGTTTTGTTTGCTAAATTAAGGCAATATTTCTGCCCTGAATCAAGCCATGCTTTTTCTTGATTGAGTCAGGATCAATCTGCTAATTTGAATATGGGTAACTCAAAGGCTAGCTTCTACAAATGGACCATGAAATATATTTCTGAATATTTACTGTACACTATTAATATTGATAATTAAAACATTATTTGAATTTGTGGTTCATCACCCAAAAAACATTATTTAGCTACAAAGAATACTTTGTTTATTACTTTGTTCCTATCGCATTAAAAACTCATTACTTAACTTAATGTCTGATATTCAATTTATCCATGTGTGACCATATTTCAGCTACATGATACAGCATTTTTCATTCACCTAACATTTACTGAATGCTTACTTGTGCCAAGCTGTGTTCTAGGTGTTGAAGATGTAATAGTGAATAAGTCAGCCAAGGTTTCTGTTCTAATGTGATTTACATTTTATTGAGGGAGACAGATAATAAACAGATAAACATATACATGTGACTATAATGTCACGTAGTGATGAGTGTGCTATGAAAAAATAAGCAAGAAGAGGATGTCAGGAAATTGGTGCTGTTTAAAATACTTTTCAGTAAAGACGTGAATGAAGTAAGGGAGAGAATCATTTTAACTATCTGAAAAATAATGTTTCACATTGAATGAAGAACAAAGTTTAAGGGCCCCAAGGTGACTATTTGCTTGGTGTATTTGGATATGAACAAGGAGTTTAGTGTGCCTGCAATGCAGTGAGCAAGAATAAAAAATGGCAGGAACTAAGGTCAATAGACAGCAAAGAACCAGAGCATAGAGGTATATAAGCCTTTGAAAGTACTTTGGCTTTTACTCTGAATGATTTGGGTAGCTGGTGGAAAATGTTAAGTAGATGAAAACTTGACCTGACTTATGTTTTCAATGGAACACTGTAGCTGTTCTGTGAAGAATGGAGTGGGAGCAGGGATGTAGCAGAAATAAATACAGGAGGACCAGTTAAGGCTGTTGCAGTAATCCAATCTAGAGATTATGGCTTAGCCTATGTGGTGAAAAGTGGACCGATTCTGCATGCATTTTGACTGTTTTACCAACAGAGTTTGCTGACTGGTTGGGTTGGGGGTTTAAGAGGAAAAATCCAAGTCAAGGACAAGCATGAGGGTAAATAATGATGCCATTTACTGAAACGTGGAGGACTGAGGGAGGAGCATGCTTTATGAGGGATAAAATATAGGTGCACTGTTTTGAATATATTACGATTGAAATCCTATTAGACATCTAAGTTGAATCGTCTAGAAGACTTCAGGGAGAAATTTGTACTGGAGGTGCAAAGATAGATGGTATTTAATGAACTAGGACAGAAAAAGACCACCCATGAAGACATCATAGTAAAAGAGGTCCAATGACAAGGCCCTACCAACCCCAGTGAAAAGTACTCAGAGGAGAAAGATCTAGCCAAGAAAACCATGAAGGAGCAGCCTTCAAAGTAGAAGGATAGGCATATTTGTATGGTATTCTGGATGCCAAATAAACTGTTTCAAGAATACGGAGGAATTCATTGTATCAAATGCTGAGATGTTAGTGAGGTCTGAGAACTGACTATTGGATTTGGCAAAGTGTGGAGGTCACTGGTGACCTTGACAAAGTGGAGTGGTTAGGGTAAAAATCTGGTTAGTGTGGTTTCAAGGGAGAGTGAAAGCTGAAGAAATGAGAGGCAGCAAGTGTAGTTCCTTTAAAAGATTTTTGTTCCGAAGTATACCAGAGAAGAGCCGGAGGAGAGAATGTAGAGTCAAGGTTTTGGATTTTTGGAATTCTGTGTTGTTTTTGTTTTTAATATAACTGATATTATAGAATCTCTGATATAGCATTTGCATGCTATGGGAAAGATCTGGTAGAGAGGAAAAGCTTAATGATGTGGGAGGTAGGGTGAAATTTCTGGAATGATGTCCTTGAATAGTTGAGAGAGGAGGAGAGGCAGTGCACTAGACTTCAGTGGAAGCTTATTCCTTGGAATAGGAGAAAAAGTAGGTCTCTGGCCACAGAAACAGATGGGTTGGTAGATTTGATGACAGGAAGATATTGACATTTTCTTTCCCTTTTGTTTTATCTTTTTATTTCAACTAATTAATTTATTTAAAAAATTTTTATTTATTTTTGTTTGTTTTTGGGTGTTTTTTTTTTTTTTTACAAATAGTTTATTGTCAAGTTGGCTTCCATATAACACCCAGTGCTCATCCCCACAAGCAATAAGAAATGAGATCCCCACCTGAATATGAGGAGGATTAAGGAAGATTGGAGGTTTTAAGAAGGAAGAAAAGGCAAGAAAGAGTCGTACTGAAGAGTGGGAGAGTGAATTGTCTAGGGAAATGAAGAATTATTTCTAGACAGATCTGAGTGCCCATTTAAAATGATACATGGCATGGTTGTGGGCTTTTCTCCATAGACATGCAGTTGCTTGGGTATAAGGTAGATGAAGAGATGAAATTAACCAGAGTTGGGATTGTCCCAGGAAAATATGCCAGAAGTACATGGGAGTGATTATAATGATTCATTGTGGAATCTGAACTGAGTAAAGAGGGGTGTGACAATTTACAGGAGATAATACACAGTGGAAATGTGATGGGAATGGACTGGAGGTCTCAGCGTGTGGAATAATTGTTGGAGAGGTAGGGTACTGACATGAGTGTGATAGAAAGGTAGGAGGTGATGGGCATAGAGTGGAGTAATGTGAACCAGGACTTGTAGAGGTATAATAGGTATCACCGTGAGATGGCTGAGGAGGAGCAGAGAATAAGATTACTGGAGTAAGGAGGTAGAGGAAGTGAACAGTAATAGTACATGTAACAAAATGTATTCTCTTTCTCTTAAGGATGAGGTTGTGGGTAAAAATTTATTAAGTCTTCTGCCTGATCATGAGAAAAGTGAAGTCTACCGAAAAATTGCTTTCAAACACTCTTTGTCAAGCTCAGGTACAGATTGTTTTTTCTAAATTGTAAGTTCTTAGATTTTAAGACACAAGTAACAATCACTCAGAGGAGTAATAAAATTTAGAACATTAGTGCCAATATAACTGCTGATTATATATTAACTTAATATAATTTCACAAATTATATTTCTAGTATTAAAATATTTCTTCTCCATTATATCTTGTTCTTTATCATGAACCCTGATTATTTGAGCTTTTGTATAATTGTATTAGTGTTATATAATATTCCAGCTGGTACTCCACTCTACAGCTACAACATAGATAGCTATGCTAGTGCTAATGTTCATGAAAAGAAAATGATACTTTTTAAAAATAGTTTATTGTCAAATTGGTTTCTATATAACACCCAGCGCTCATCCCCACAAGTGCCTCCTCCATGCCCATCATCCCTCCTCCCCTCCCTCCCACCCTATCTGTCCTCAGTTTGTTCTCAGCATTCAAGAGTCTCTCATGCTTTGCCTCTCTCCCTCTCCCCCACTACCTCCCCCCTTCTTCTCCCCCATGGTCTTCCGTTAAGTTCCTCCTAATCCTCCTATACGTGAAAACATATGGTATCTGTCCTTCTCTGCCTGACTTATTTCGCTCAGCATAATACCCTCAAGGTCCATCCATGTTGCTACACATGGCCAGATTTCATTTTTTCTCATTGCCATGTAGTATTCCATCGTATAGATAAACCACATCTTCTTGATCCATTCGTCAGTTGATGGACACTTGGGCTCTTTCCATGTTTTGGCTATTGTTGAGAGTGCTGCTATGAACATTGGGGTACATGTGCTCCTATGCATCAGCACTCCTGTATCCCTTGGGTAAATTCCTAGCCGTGCTATTGCTGGGTCCTAGGGAGTTCTATTGTTAATTTTTTTAAAAAATTATGTTTATTTATTACTGAGACAGAGAGAACCAAAGCATGATGAGAGGAGGGGCAGAGAGAGAGGGAGACACAGAATCTGAAGCAGGCTCCAGACTCTGAGCTGTCAGCACAGAGCCTCACGCGGGGCTTGAACCCATGAACCGTGAGGTCATGACCTGAGCTGAAGTCAGACACTTAACTGACTGAGCCACACAGGCACCCCAGAAAATGATATTTTTGTAAAATCTCTTCTAAGTAAGACAATGTTCCTATGAAATAATCTTTTTTTTTCCTATGAAATAATCTTGAAGAATATGGTAACATACAATTGTAAACATGTTTTGTATCTGTTTTTTTTTCTTAGTGGGAAAACATATTGATTTTTGCTGTCACATAAAGAGAGGAAACGATAAACATGGTAGTAACCCTACTTATGAATATGTGAAATTCATTTTGACTTTAAAAGATATTTCAATTGGTAAGCAGTTCAATTTCTAATCTAATCTAGCTAAAATTAATGTGTTTCATAGCCCTTCATTGCTAACATAAACGCCCTTCCACTGCTGGTGCGTTCAAGTTCTCTTATATCTCTGTGACCATAGGGTTTGGTTGTAGACAATAATCAGAGTTTTGAAAAAGAATTTTTTTATTTTATTTTTTTTTCAATATTTTATTTATTTTTGAGAGAGAGAGAGAGAGAGACAGCATGAGCAGGGGAGGGTCAGAGAGAGAGGGAGGCACAGAATCTGAAACAGGCTCCAGGCTCTGAGCTAGCTGTCAGCACAGAGCCCGATGCGGGACTCGAACCTGAACCGCGAGATCATGACCTGAGCCGAAGTCGGACGCTCAACCGACTGAGCCACCCAGGCACCCCGAAAAAGAATTTTATGATAAAAACAAAAGGAAAGTAGACTACAAGTGCAGATGTAAATGGATTACCAAAAGAAGGACCAACAAAAATCTCTGATAAAAAGAAAGACTAAAGTTATTGCTCCAAAGGATCTTATTGTTTTAAAAATTGACCTGATAATATGAAATACCTTGTTTATAAATGTCTTTTACCTTTTTCTCTGAGACCAGAATTCGAGATAGCTTATATACTTACCTGACACTAATCATAAAACACATGAAATTTATATTTAAAATATGTTTAGTTATATTTAATGATCTTATTCTTGAGTTCCTGGTTCATTGAAGTAGTTTTCACTTCTATTATTGCAGTTAGGAATAAATAGGTTTGTGTCAGTAGACACCGCTACTAACTTGACACCCAAAAATCCTTGGGCATCTCCTTTCTTTCAGGCTCTTTGAATTTTAGCAGAGTGTAATGATTTTGTGAAACAGTGCAATGAGACTGTGCAGTAAAAGGAAGGAGGGGAGATGATAAGGACTTGAAATATATAGATAAATTGACTATCCAATACAACAGAACAGTTTATTTATGAGACTTGTAATTACTTTTTATGGCTCTGCAGAAAATAGAAAGGACAGGGATATAGGGGAAATTCCTCTAAAAAATGGAATACCTTTTACAGAAATACCTAATACGTATTATATAAATTGAATCCTTGTTTCATCCCTTCCGTTATTAAAAACTATATTAAATATTCAGTTTAAAAAATAGTGAGATTCACAGGGTAAGGTCACATGGTAACATGGTGGATTGAGCTAATAAGAATGCCTCTTTCCTGCTACAAAAACAAGGAAACAATTTTTAAAAGATAACAAAAAGAGTTTGATGCATAGCCAAGCTTAAAGGAAAGGTACGTCCTTGGGTGACAGGAATTAAGGTATAAAGTACAAGACTATAATGTTAGAGGAAGTCTAGGCGGTGGCCTAGGTGGGTTATAAATCATCCATGGGCTTCATTGGCTGGGGTCTGGAGTGCTAACACTCATTTAAGGACCAGTACATAAAACCTAGAGACTTAAAATGATGAGTAAAATCCTGTCCACTGGCCTAGAGGAATAATAAGTTTGCCATCTCCCTCAAAATTTGAATGAAAAAAATATATATATGTCATTTAGAAGAAATCAAACCCCAAATCAGTGTTGTGTGGACATGGAGTCCAAATTTACAATTTTCTAGGTTTCATGAACTATTGGCTGAGAAATTAACATGAACACTTATTTGGGGCCATTAAAATATCTAGGGTTTGAACCACAGGTAAATAGCCCAACAAATATGTGAAAAGATGCTTGAACTCATTAGTAAGCAAAGAATGAAAATTTAAAAACCAGTGGGATAGCACTGTACATTCATCTGAATGACAGCAATCAGGAAGTGTAAATGATAAATTCGGTGAGGAAGTGAGAAATAAAACATTAATACAGTGTTGAGAGGAATGTAAACTCATGAAGCATTCCTGAAAAACAGTGAACTTAAATTATGTTAATTAACTTGTGACTCAGCAATCTCATCACTGGGTGGAATTATACCAGAGGCAAACTTACAGAGATCTGTGTCTAAGGGGACATGTACTATGTATGCCATAATGTTCTTTATGGTTGGAGGGAAATGTATAATATGGAAAACTTTTAAAGCAATGACCTCAAAAATACATACTACAACATGATTAAATCTTTTTTTTACTTTATTTATTTTGAGAGAGAGATGGAGAGGTAGAGAGCAAGAGAGAGACAGTACGAGTGGGCAAGGAGCAGAGAAAGGGAGAGAGAGAATTCCAAGCAGGCTGCACAGTGCAGAGCTCTAACCCATGGACTGCAAGATCGCAACCTGAGCCAAAGTCGGATGTTTAACCGACTGAGCCACTCAGGCACTCCAGTTAAATCTCAAAACCATATTGTTGACTGAAAAGAGTAAGAAACAGAACAAGATCTATAGCACAATGCTATCTTTGTAAATGGTAAACACATGCAATAAAATCAGACTACATGTTTTACAAGTTTAGATATTAAAGGTAGTAGATGGCAATGGGTGTCTGTGGGTGGAGAAGAGACAGAAAAATCAAGAGGAGAACTTTATCTGTGTTAATTCTATTCCATGAACTAAGAGTATAATTAACTCAGTTCTTTGCCACTGAGGCCTAAAACGATAGCAAATGAATGAATGAATGGATGAGTAAATAAACAATGAAAATTAGCTGACACAATGGTTGTCTGATATGTTTTTTTTTTGTTTTTGTTTTTGTTTAAAATTTTTTTTAATGTTTTATTTATTTCTAGGAGAGAGAGAGAGAGACAGTGTGAGCAGGGGAGGGTCAGAGAGAGAGGGAGTCACAGACTCTGAAACAGGCTCCAGGCTCTGGGCTGGCAGACGCGGGGCTTGAACCCACGAACCGTGAGATCATGACCTAAGCGAAAGTCGGACACTTAACCGACTAAGCCACCCAGGCGCCCCAGTCTGATATGTTTTTCATGTGTCTTGAAAACTAAGGGTCGTATACTTTTTAAAAATTTAGTTGACTATATATGCACACAGATTACACACATATTTAATACCCATGTGCTCTATATAAAAGAGGAGAGCTAAATGTCTTTTGGAGACTACAACATCCATCCACAGAGTAAGAACCCAAGGTTGGATATCACCCTAAACTTACAACAATTATTTCTCATTAATGACTTCTTCATGTTTTGGTGGAGACCAGGGAGGATAGCTAGAACAGAAGGAAGGCAGGAAAAATCTGTGACTCAGAATTCTGAAAATTATCAGTGGGCTGGCAAACGGCACACTGATGTGTCAGGTGTTCGTTCATCTTCTTGTGTAGCCAGTCTGCCTTTCTATTTGATTGTCACATGTGTGTCTCTGTCTCCCTTAGAGCCTTTGGTGCTCTTCAGTAGCTTCTTCCCTAGCCCCTCTTTTGCTGAATCGTGTGGTACATATCTTCCTTTGGAGGATCGATTTTATCTGGTGGGGTCCATCTGTATCTTCAGGACTCAGACTCTACAGGTGAGTATGTTGTGCGTGTTCCTTCCCAACTGTGGCATTGTGGGCTTCCTTTGAAAGGCTATGTTCCCTTTGGTCTGTCAGCTACTGGACAGAATTTGTAAGGAACCCAATGTGTACAGGGGGTTGTGCTAAGATATATGAATGAGAAAAGATCAGCTCCTGCATTTCAGAAGGTGAGCATGTGAGTGGAGATCTCAACACCCTCAAAAGAGATGCACAATGTTTTACAAGTGGTTTTAATGTAATATGAAAGAGGTATACAGGGGCTGGGGGCCGGGACATATTAAGAAAAGTGACCATTTTGGCAGGTGAATAAAACAAGATTTCTATCATGAGGTGAGTTTTGAGGCAGCTTTCCCCCACATCCACCACCATTTGTCGCTTAGTGTTCTACTGATGTAGCACTTACAGATTCTGTCTCTAAAAAGGAGTCAGTCTTTAGTATTCTTTGGATAGATTCAAGTTCAATGAATATATATTCACTAAGTAACATATTTATTAAGCACCTATTATGTGTCAGACACTATGCTAGGTCCTGGGGATGCATTAGGGGAAGTAGACGATAGGTAATATTGAAAAGTGACATGTAGGTGATAAAACAAAACAATCATATGCTAATAGTTGGTGGGAAGAAGGAGTTCAGACAGAGTGGTCAGGGAAGGTCTTTCTCTGATGACCTGTCTTTTGAACTGAGACCCCCCAGTGAAGGGGGGGCCAACCCAGCAAAGAAAAGAAGGCAATTCAAGAAAAGGGTTCAGCAGCTGTAAAAGTCTTGAGTAGTAACTAGCTTAAAGAATTCCAAGGCACAAGTACTGTTATGTGACTAGAAGAAAGTGAAAGAGGGAAGGAGTAGTAGAAAATTAGGTATAAGAAGTGGACAGAGGCCAGGTTATGGAGAGTTTTGAGAATCATGATCATGAGTTTGACTTTTACTTCAGGTATAGTGGAAAGCAAGATGACATGATCTGATTTAATTATTTTTAAAAGATTATACTGGTTTCTGGGTGGGAAATAGAATCTGGGAAACAAGAGCAGACACAAGAGGAGTGGTATGAGAGATGACAGAGCTTGGACTAGGATTGGAGTAATGGAGATAGAAGCACATGGATTTGGGTTATTGTTGGGAGATGGGGCAGAAAGTCCTTGCTGATGCATTGAAAGTGGGTGGGAGGAGAGAAATGACTCCTAGCTTTTAGGCCTGAGCAGCTCAGTAAATGAAAGTCCCATGTTAACTTTATGATGACATTGTGACATACAACACATCCATCTGCCTTGTAAGAAAGGCCTCTGGATCCAGACCAGCTGCAGGACCTCATCCAAGTTGCCTAAATCTTTTAACGCCAGTTTCTTTTTCTATACCTGGTGATAATAAAACCTTCATTTTGGGTTGTTGTGAAGAATAAATAAGACAGCACCTTATGCATGGTAAGCACTAGATAAGTGTGAGCTATTATAGCCATCATAATCATCATTATCATTATGATTATTATTGTTATCATTAGGATCCAGAGAGAGCAAAAGACCTGCTTTACTTTTGTCTCTGGTTTAGAATGTGGATGTTAACTGACCACATTTCAGGAACTGTGAAAGACTCTGTTACATTCAATTTTAGAGTAGTGATGTATGTCATCATTTTTCCCCCAGATTGAAGAACATAAGAAAAGTGGCAGAGAGAAAAGCAATTGAAGAAAGTTCCTTGGGCTGATTGCCCCAATCAGTATGCCTCTCTGGCAGCTCTCTTGGATTTGAGCTCTCTTGCCACTTGAAGGCAGACATCCCATTGTGGAGGTCACCCTCCAAATATACTCCCTCCTCTGTTTTCTTTCTGAAAAATCTGATTTGGCACACTTCCTATACCCTAGTCTCTTTCATGGCACAAGGATCTTTATTTGTGATCTTTTGCATTTTTTCTCTGGGCTTCTAGGATATTTGTTCCATATTAATGGTCACTTTGGAGAATAAATCCTGTGAGAACAGAGGGAGGAAGGTTTTTTTCACAGTGTTGACTATGTAGCACAGTGAATGGTTCAGCAAACTCAGAGTGCAACTGTGAAATGGATCTATTTTATTTTTGTGTCTATCAGCTGTGTATCTTGGGCCAAATCATTACTTCTCTATAATCTTCAGTTTCCACATCTATAAAGTCAAGTGCCTTTTTCTCATTGATATATAGATGAGCTGTGACATTGGATATGAGATTGCTTCCAAATTTACTACATGCTATACAAATGTGTCAGGTACTTTTACTATGTAACTTCATTTTAAGTATCTAAAATGCCAGTTTTTCTGCAGGACCTTTTCACTGTAGAGAAAGCTGGGGAAGATATTCAGCTGATAAGAGACTCAGATGAGGAACATCTATCTACAGAGTGCAGGTGAGAGACTACTGCTGAAGTAAGTGATGGAGACCTAGGGCATACTTTTATTAAACAAAACAGAAATAAGAAATAATATCTACAAATATTTCCCATTAAAATGAAAAGAAACAATTGAATCTAGAAGAGCAGTCTGCTAGTCTGAATCCTTTGCCCAGCTAATATAATTCTTATTTCTCCAAATGAATGTAAATACAAATGATTGGATTTGTATTTTTAAAAAAGGCTATAGAGCACATTTAACTGACAGACATTTAATGACTTTAAAATTAAGACAATGCATTTTTTTTACAAATAGTTTATTGTCAAGTTGGTTTCCATATAACACCCAGTGCATTTATTTTTTTTCACGATTCTAAATTTTATTTATTTTTTATTTATTTAGTAAATAGCCTATTGTCAAGTTGGTTTCCATATAACACCCAGTGCTCATCCCCACAAGACAATGCATTTAAAAATAGTATTTGATTACTTCTTTTTCTAGAAATACTTTTATTTGGTGGAACAAGTGTGCATTGTGATAACTGCTATTATTCAGGTGCCCGTCTTTCTCTGAATATAATTTGTGTTTTAACATCTGTTAACAAAGTTTCAAAGAACAGAGGCAGTATTCTATGATTTTGAGTGAGAAAAATAAATATGTATTCCTAATCCACAAGAAAATGCCTGTTTACCAGATATCATTAAACCCCTTAATGTACCTATTTAACAATCCACCAAGGACTTCTGCAAAATACAAATTATTTGTAATACTATATGGTTATTTAATACTTGATAAACTCATTAGTATGTGTGTCTGGATGTAGAAAACCCTAATACTAGACACTGCACAGTATAGAGCATTGAGAGTGGATTACATTTTCCTTCTACATCACAGCAGATACCTATATGTAAATAAATAACAAAATAATATATTAAAGATGTGCACCACATGCCAATAATACTTAGCAAAATAAAATAAATCAGGTAAGTTTTCAAGAGGTTTCTTATGATTAAAGACATGTTTGTGTGAGGTCTGATCGTGAAAGGAGGGAGCTGGAGGCTGTGGTCACTGTTACTATTTGGTGGGGGGGGCAGTAAGGAAGAAAGAGCTGGTGAAGAAATGAGTTAAACAGGAAATGCCTGACATTCATCTGTGTCTGGATCTAAGGAATGGGGGGAGAATCTTCCCTTCCTGGCAGGAGAGTTCAGAGGTGCTTGGCTGTGAACCATTGTCTGAAGCTACACACAAAGCAATGGGATGGAAAACAGAGCTCACCATGGCAGTCTGTTTGCATTCCATGTTCTTGGCGTCCTACAACTCTTGCTAACATGAAACTGCATTTGTAATTGTGTGAATGTGGCAAGTCTGCTCATGCCAAGATCACACTCATTTGCACAAACAAGATTTTGTTTTTGTTTTTGTTTTTTGCAGGATCTCAAATTTCTTGTAAATATTCAGCATTGTATCTGTGGTTCTTATGTGTTGGGGACAGGACAAGTGCATGGCCAAGCTTAAGACTGATAATAATAATTCAGCTCTTTTAATGTGCTTTATCATTCCCAGTTTTTCTTGTAGTGCATGTGCTTATTTATGTTTTTTTAGGCTTGACTATTTCCTTCATTAGTTACTCAACTTTATTAGAAGACCTGTTACTGAATAATGTGGGGAAGAGGATATCTGTAAAACACAGCATGTTTAAACAATGTGAATTCAAGACACTCTCCTATCAGGAGAGTATCTGAGATACAATAGCAGCAAAACACATGGGTAATTCAGTCAGCAGATTACTGTAGCAAATATTCAGACAGTGAGAGTTCAGAGAGTGAGGAGACCTGTGTTTTACTATTAAGCAGAGTTTGATTGGATGAAAAATATTCTGATGCATAAACGAGCCAGTTACCACATCTATGCCACTGATATACTTAGATTTTGAAGTGTTTTCTTGAGGCTTAAAACCCCTTCTAATATTGTAAGGTATTATCATTCCAGTGTGGATGAATACACTATTGTTTTTTATGTTCTGTACTTCCATAAAATATTACTAAAGTTATTTCAAAATTATGCAGTGGATTATCATATAGACAGGAAGATGGAAAAATGACACTTAGGACAGAGCTAATATGGATCTGATGAAGAGATTCTGTTTAATTCCAGTCCCTTCATCTCTCTCATACCCCTCCCCTCTCCTCCAATACCATTGTCACTGCTCTGCTGTCACTACCTCAGCTCTCACATGATGGGTTGTTGGTGGGCCTGGCTCATCCACTATCTTGAGGTCTGTAAGGGCGGACCTGCCAGCTTTGTCCCTGTCTGGCCCAGAGCTTCACATAGAGTAGGCAGAAATGAACATCTACTCAGGGACTGATTGATTGATTGATTGACTGATCCTATCAAAATGTAATCCATTCCATGCCATGATACCTCCCAAAGGTAATGCAGTATTGTCATAAATTGGCGGAAGCTAGTATTGCCTTATTTTTGTCATAGACTCCTTCCTTGTCCTCAGGATATTTTTAAATAAAAAGAAGGAAAAGAGATCGTGGCATGTCAGGGTTATAGTTTTGTAGGTTTTGTAGGCACCCTGAGAAGATTGGTAATCTGGCTCCCATTTTATAGACTGGGGGACAGTTAAAAAAGTAATCAGGCACAGAGGTCATAGGGACCTGGAGCTCCCAAAGTGCTTCAGGAATTTCTCTTGGTAATTCTACATGTTCTTTGAAAGGCAAGAATCATTTTACTAAAAGGCTGGAAAGCATTGCCTATGCTTATGAAAGAAACACAAAAAGGGGAATTTGAGATGTTTAGAAGAAAGGGTCTGTGTCGGTGGAGGGTGTCTTGTCCTTGTATGTTTCAGATTTGAGACTAAAGAACCTTTCATTTCAGGAGAGGGACTCAGTGGTTGGGTTATTTTCCATTAAAGCTACAGATGCAATGGAGTGCAAGGTCTTCTTTGCTTGGATCACTGAAGATATAGAGAAGTAAGGGCTACTTGAAAGTCAGTGAGGGGCAGACCAAAACTGGAATACTGTTAGTTCTCTCCTATCTGGCTCATGCTAGAGCTAGAAGGAAGTACCTAACTACTCTTTTAGGTTGGCCAGGTGTATGTAGAGGTAAGGCCCAAATTCCCATCATAGCATCAACTCAGTACAAATGCATTCTGTTCTTTAGCTGTCACAATAGGATTTCATGTTTATTAACCTAGTTAAAAACAAATCTATAAGGTAGATTTTAGACCTGTCAGAATGTAGTCATAGAGGATGTATGATTTGCCCAAACTCACACAGTTGGTTCCACAGTAGAGTGGAATTGGGACCCAGATTTTCCTGGGCTCATTCCTGTCAGGACATTAGTTCTAGGAGTTGTGGCTAGTATGGGATTCCAAGGAGAAAATTCAAGGAGACTTTGGGGAGTGCTTGATTGTGGTGTTTTTGAGAGAAAGTCTTTTTTCCCTTTAATTTCCCCTTAAATGTAGAGGAGATAAAAATTAATAGGGAGGAGACTATGACGATTAACCCAGTGTTGATGAAGATAGTGTCTTCTCACCTTCAAGTAGAGTAAAGAACACTGGAATATCAAATAGCAACATTGCCAATGGTTCTAGTAGCTCTTACATTTACTTGCAGTCTTCAGAAACTGCTACAGTGCTGGAATTCGTCCCTGGGAGACTTCAGCTGTCAGCAGCTGCACCAAATAGAATGTTCTTGCCTAATTCCCCTTTCAGCTTCTGCTAGTGAAGAGTTATGTTGTATAAAGGTATGAAGAGAATTTTGTGAAGAAGTATGATGATTCTCATTAGCACAGTTTTGCTGTATGGAGCCTTAGTACTATTCTATACAGACTTCATTACTTGTGTCCACTCCATCTTGAGTAGGGAAAAGGCACTGCACATCATTGTAGCACATGCCCTTTGATTCTGTTTCTTTACCACTAACGAGCTAGCTCACAGGTTTCATCATACCAGTCCGAGTGAAACTTATTCATACAGCAAGTATTTAGCACCTCCTACATGGGAAGTTCTGTTCTAGGCTCTGAGGACACAGCAGTGAACAAAAATCCTTAACTTCCTAGACCTTACATTCTAGTGGAAGAGAAAGACAATACATAAATCAATAGACCACAGTGCTTTACATGGTGAGGAAGGCCAATGGAAAATATTAAGCAATGAAGAAGGATAGGGAAGGTTGTCGAGGGAGGCTAAATTTGATTTAGGTTTTGTCATATGCAATTGGCATTTTTATAGGTTAAAAGATGGTGCAATATTGGCAGTTCCGAATGGTGTAATGTAATAGGTAAGGTGGCCAGCTTGCGTCTCCACAAGAGATATTTTCACTGCCTCTTCAAGCCTCAGTCAAGGCTCCCTACTCTCCTTCTGCAAGTTACTTGGCTAATTCTACTCCACATTGCCTGCCATCATCTTTGGCAAATACTGTAGAGGTCTTGTGGTATAGTGATACTTAAAAAGACCTCATAGCTTTGGGATTTTTGAACAACTGCAGTATTTGGGTTTTATTTCTCAGCTTGACCATTTACAAGTTGTGTCATGTTGTACAAGCCTCCTTGAGTCTCAGGTTTATTGTCTATAAACAGTGAGGATAATTACTGCAGAATGTGCATCACAACCAAATAAGATAAGGAAATGAGACCTATCTGTTTTGATAAGTAAATGAGATGTATCTGCTTTGTAAAATACTATACAAAATCAAGTTATTATCAATTAAGAAGTACTTTCAAAATTGAGAAGTTATAATTTAGATCTCTACTAAACCGTTACCTGAGCTATAATGACATTATTAAGTGTAAAATATTACATGTAACCTTCGCTTATGGTCATGATATGAAGTCTGAGTCTGGTGATTTCTTCAATACTCTCACTTTTCTATTAATTTAAGGTTGTCCTCTTTTTCTGTTTAATCCCAGCCAACTTAAACCTCTATCCTTATGAGATGGTTCTATATCCATTAACACCCAAACAATTCTCTGCAGAGTGTACCTTGTCTTGCTGGGTGGGGGACGGGGT